ATTACTTAGGATATCCAAAAAATGTCATTGACTTATTTCCATTGGGTCCTTGAAATATCTTATTTAAACCTTTAAAGTTAAAACAGCTAACTCAGTTGTATGAAAATCAATTACAATAATAGGAGATATGCTAGGAATAAGGTGAACGGAGTCATTTGTATTAGCATTAAAGAAAGGATCAGCTAGTATCACAATTAAGGTGTCAGTTTAGAATGCTTGGACACATGTGAATGCAAGGAGTATGGCAGACCGTTTATTTTTGAATGGAAAGCCAATGAGATTAGCAAAAGGAATCCAGTGAGCTAATCAGGTCAGTGTTAGCACGAGGACCTGGGAAAGTTGTAAGGTTCCGGTCCGCAGTGTGGGTGATTTGTGAATTGTTCCATTTACATTATTATGACTTTTTATTCACGTTGATGGACAGCCTTAAAGATTTCAGGAGTAATTTCCCTCCTGGAGTTTACCTGGAGAGAGTTCCGGGAGTCACCGCCCCCGCGGCCCGGTCTGTGACCAGGTCTCATGGTGGATCAGAGCCTGATCAACCAGGCAATTACTGCTGGCTGCACGCAATCCAACGTACGAGCCACAGCCTGGCTGGTCAGGTACCGACTTTAGGTGCTTGTCCAGTGCCAGCTTGAAGACTGCCAGGGGTCTATTGGTAATCCCCCTTATATATGCTGGGAGGCAGTTGAACAGTCTCGGGCCCCTGACACTTATTGTATTGTCTCTTAACGTGCTAGTGACACCCCTGATTTTCATTGGGGGATGTTGCATCGTCTGCCGAGTCTTTTGCTTTCGTTGTGAGTGATTTCCGTGTGCAAGTTCGGTACTAGTCCCTCTAGGATTTTCCAGGTGTATACAATTATGTATCTCTCCCGCCTGCGTTCCAGGGAGTACAGGTTTAGAAATTTCAAGCGCTCCCAGTAATTGAGGTTTTTTTTTTTATCTCCGTTATGCGCGCCGTGAAGGTTCTCTGTACATTTTCTAGGTCAGCAATTTCACCTGCCTTGAAAGGTGCTGTTAGTGTGCAGCAATATTCCAGCCTAGATAGAACAAGCGACGTGAAGAGTGTCATCATGGGCTTGGCATCCCTAGTTTTGAAGGTTCTCATTATCCATCCTGTCATTTTTCTAGCAGATGCGATTGATACAATGTTATGGTCCTTGGAGGTGAGATCCTCCGACATGATCACTCCCAGGTCTTTGACGTTGGTTTTTCGCTCTATTTTGTGGCCAGAATTTGTTTTGTACTCTGATGAAGTTTTAATTTCCTCATGTTTACCACATCGGAGTAATTGAAATTTCTCATCGTTGAACTTCATATTGTTTTCTGCAGCCCATTGAAAGATTTGGTTGATGTCCGCCTGGAACCTTGCAGTGTCTGCACTGTCATGCAGATTCGGGTGTCGTCTGCAAAGGAAGACAGGGTGCTGTGGCTGACATCCTTGTCTGTGTCAGATATGAGGATGAGAAACAAGATGGGAGCGAGTACTGTGCCTTGTGGAACAGAGCTTTTCACCGTAGCCGCCTCAGACTTTACTCTGTTGACTAGTACTCTTTGTGTTCTGTTTGTGAGGAAATTGTAGATCCATCTACCAACTTTTCCTGTTATTCCTTAAGCACGCATTTTGTTCGCTATTACGCCATGGTCACGCTTGTCGAAGGCTTTTGCAAAGTCTGTATATATTACATCTGCATTTGTTTTGTCTTCTAGTGCATCTAGGACCCTGCCGTAGTGATCCAGTAGTTGGGACAGACAGGAGCGACCTGTTCTAAACCCATGTTGCCCTGGGTTGTGTAACTGATGTGTATCTAGATGGGTGGCGATCTTGCTTCTTAGGACCCTTTCAAATATTTTTATGATATGGGATGTTAGTGCTGTCGGTCTGTAGTTCTTTGCTATTGCTTTACTGCCCCCTTTGTGGAGTGGGGCTATGTCTGTTGCTTTTAGTAACTGTGGGACGACCCCCGTGTCCATGCTTCCTCTCCATAGGATGGTAAAAGCACGTGATGGGGGCTTCTTGCAGTTCGTGATGAACACGGAGTTCCACGAGTCTGGCCCTGGGGCAGAGTGCATTGGCATGTCATTTATCGCATGTTCGAAGTCATTTGGTGTCAGATAGGCTTGTGTTTACCAAATTCTGTGGCTCCCTCATAAAATTTAGATCTTCTACTCTGTCTGGTTAGCGGCTTACTAAAAATTGAGTCATATTGGGACTTGAGTAGCTCACTCATTTCTTTGCTGTCATCTGTGTAGGACCCATCCTGTTTAAGTAGGGGCCCAATACTGGATGTTGTTCTCGACTTTGATTTGGCATAAGAAAAGAAATACTTTGGGTTTCTTTCGATTTCATTTATGGCTTTTAGTTCTTCCCGCGATTCCTGACTCCTGTAAGATTCCTTTAGCTTTAGTTCGATGTTTGCTATTTCTCTGACCAGTGTTTCCCTACGCATTTCAGATATATTGGCCTCTTTTAACCGCTCTGTTATTCTTTTCAGTCGCCTGTAAAGGGAGCGCCTGTCTCTTTCTATTTTACATCTACTCCTCCTTTTTCTTAAAGGAATAAGCCTTGAGCATACATCGAGTGCCACAGAGTTAATCTGTTCTAGGCATAAGTTGGGGTCTGTGTTGCTTAGTCTATCTTCCCAGCTTATATCGTTTAGGACTTGGTTTGCTTGGTCCCACTTTATATTCTTTTTATTGAAGTTGAATTTGGTGAAGGCTCCCTCGTGACTAATCTCATTTTGTCGGTCTGGGGCTCCACGCATACATGTCTGAACCTCGATTATGTTGTGATCTGAATATATTGTTTTTGATATGGTGACATTTCGTATCAGATCATCATTGTTAGTGAAGATGAGGTCTAGTGTATTCTCCAGTCTAGTAGGCTCTATTATTTGCTGGTTTAAGTTGAATTTTGTGCAGAGATTTAAAAAAGCTCGGGGTGGGGGGGGGGGGGGTTCTCGTCTGAGCTGCCTCCTGGTGTTATTACTGCAACAATATTATTTGCTATATTCCTCCATTTTAGGTGCCTCAAGTTGATATCCCCCAGGAGCAAGATGTTGGGAGCAGGAGCTGGAAGATTTTCCAGACAGTGGTCAGTTTTCAACAGCTGTTCCTGGAATTGTTGGGACGTTGCATCTGGAGGCTTGTAGACTATCACAGTGACTAGGTTTTGGTTCTCGATCTTTACTGCTAAAATTTCCACTACATCATTTGAGGCATTAAGCAGTTCTGTGCAAACAAGTGACTCTGCGATATACAGGCCAACCCTTCCCCCCTTTTTGCCTGTTCACTCTGTCGCATCTGTATAGGTTGTTAGGTTGTAACCTGGGATCCATATTTCGATGTCCAAATGATCCTTTATGTGGGTCTCTGTGAAAGCCACGAACATTGCATTTGTCTCTGCAAGCAGTCCACGGATGAAAGGTATTTTGTTGTTCGTTGCTGGCTTTAGACCCTGTATATTTACAAAGAAGAATGTCATCGGACTGGCGGTATTGGTGGTACTGGGGGAAACTTTTTTCCGGCACTAGTATCTGTTGGTTTGGAGTGGAGGCCATCGACTGTGGTTCCACTCCAGAAATGACTGGATTTGGCGTACGATTTCTGCCATTTCCTGCCAGTTTTGTTTTTTTTTTTCCTGGCGCGAGAGTTTGCCTGTCTCCTTGTATGTTTATTTTTACCCTATTATCTACAGTGTCCATAATTACTATCACATTTGTGATAATAATTATGGACTTCACCTTGCGAAAGCAGACAAAGCAAGATTTTAGGGGAAAAGTAATATTAGAAGAGAAGGGAACTGACGTGCCCCTTAACATCAGTAGCTAGCTAAAACGCAACTGTTTCATAATACCACACAATAGAGCGAAAAACTAATGTAAAAGACCTGGGAGTGATAATGTCAGAGGATCTCGCTTTCAAAGACCACAACATTGTATCTATCGCATCTGCTAGAAAAATGACAGGATGGATAATGAGAACCTTCAAAACTAGGGATGCCAAGCCCATGATGACACTCTTCAAGTCGCTTGTTCTATTTAGGCTGGAATATTGCTGCACACAGCACTTTTCAAGGCAGATGAAATTGCTGACCTAGAAAATGTACAGAGAACCTTCACGGCTCACATAACTGCGATAAAACACCTCAGTTACTGGGAACACTTGAAGTTCCTCAACATGTACTCCCTGGAACACAGGCGGGAGAGAATGGTCATATATACTTGGAAAATCCTAGAGGGATTAGTACTAAGCGTGCACACGAATATCACTCCCTATGAACGCAAAAGACTCGACAGACGATGCAACATCCCCTCAATGAAAAGCAGGGGTGCCACTAGCACGATAAGAGAACTCAATAAGTGTCAGGGGCCCGAGACTGTTCAACTGCCTCCAAGCATACATAAGGAGGATTACCAGTAGACCCCTGGATGTCTTCAAGAAGGTGCTGGACAGGCACCTAAAGTCAATACCTGACCAGCCAGGCTGTGGTTCGTACGTCGGATTGCGTGTGGCCAACAGTAACAGACTGGTTGATCAGGCCCTGATCCACCATGAGGCCTGATCACAGAACGGGCCGCGGGGGCGTTGACCCTCGAAGCCCTCTCCCTCTCCGGGTAATGTTTTTGCATACACTGCTATGAAGAAAAGTGAAAAAAAAAAAACAGCATACATAAGGGGGACTACCAATAGACCCCTGGATGTCTTCAAGAAGGCACTGAACAGGCACCTAAAGTTAGTACCTGACCAACCGGGCCGTGGTTCGTACGTCAGCTTGCTTGCGGCCAGCAGTAACAGCCTGGTTGGTCAGGCCCTGATCCACCATGAGGCCTGGTTACAGACCGGGCCGCGGGGGCGTTGACCCCCGAAACCCTCTCCAGGTAAACTCCAGGCAAACTGTTAAGAATTGCTCCAAACATTTGACAATCCCATACCTAAATTAAAAAATAGTGCTCATAACCTCCACCAGAGGTTGTTCTAAACACTGGCTAGCGCTGTAATTTTCTTCTTGACAGACAGTGACTGAACGCAGCGAGCAGCAACAGTTCAGCCAGGTTATTTACAACTCCAGTGGAGTTACCATACACCCACCTTATGATGTCACAAGCATCCAGAACCAATCTGCAGACACCTTCGTTAACACCTTCAAGTGCCTCAGACACTCTACTGGGGTAAGGTGGTTGCTATTGTGAGTCCAATCTATTATTGTTATTTATAACTTATTAGTATAATTATTAGTTATTTTTATTTTATGTATCCCTGAAGAGGGGCCTTTAGTGATTTTTCTATGGGTTTCTTGCCAAATTTTCGCTTTATTTCGCCCGTAACACGAAAAAGCCTCATCCGATCGGCTTCAGATTTTCATTGCTTGGCTAACAGTAACTAGTGCAAGATTATAGGAGTAACTGGTATGTGTCGGTGCCCTGTGACCTAATTATTGAACTTTAATTCCACGAAGCGGAGAGTGAAATTTCTATGTATTGTTGGTGCACATCTGACAATTTTGTATAAAATAGTGTTGAATGACTTCAACGTTTAATGGCTGATGCATTTTGTGGCCAGGATAGTACCATTCAGTTTAGTTTGTGTGGACGAATTTGCCAGTGAACTGATTTTCATAAAAAATGGAATTGTTAGAATCCGTGCAATAAATAGAGGCCTCTTCTGGTCGGCTTCAAATTTTGAGGCTTTAAATTGTTTTCTGGAAAGCAAAGTTTTGGCTTGTGCATGTTCTTATTTGGAATTTTTATTGAAGAAATTGTATATTAATGTCCATGTGATAACTTATTAATGCCTCTCCTGATTCACTTCAAATTTTCAACTCAAATATTTAACTGCATTACAAACTCGTGCTGCACTCTGCACTATTCCTTTCACATGCATTGACGTACAGGGGCTGGAGTTATGCAATATGGGGATACATTTCTTTAACTGCACCACGAGCGATATTATCATCGGTGTCTTTTATTATAGTCAGGTGAAGCACAGTATATACAATTTTAAATTCATGGGGAATTGCTGAAGCCTTCATGGCCATACAATGTTTGGAGACTGAAGCGCAAACTGGAAGACTTTAGTTCCCGTTCCTTGGATCAAGAGCCTCTCATCGGCGACAGGAAATACCCCTTGCCAAAGGATAAGGGTTATAAAGGGCCTTGGAGATTTGAGGTATAATCAGGTTTGATCGAGGAAGGAAAAGATAGCTACAACTTCTTAGAGCAAGAGCGCTTGACCATCATCAGGCGCCCCTATTGAAGAAACCCTTCAGAAAACTCCTGTAGATTTGCTAGGCAGAATTTACTTCCCTAAACCTGTGTGGGGATGGGAGTGAGGTGAATAGATGGTTCAGTAACACTAAGAAAAAGGAATTACAGCTTTATTTCAATCATAACAATAAGATCCAGATTATTATACAGAGCAGACAGTCGCTATTCACATAACATGACAACTTACAGCACAACACAGCAATGACCACGAAACACTGTCCCTTACAGTAACACTTACGACACTGTCAATCTTGTTCACACTGCTCATTACCTTCCACTTCATTATATACGGCCATACAGTAGACTACTGTCCCCACAATACACCACATTAATTATATGCTTAACAGAACTGTGTCCCTGACAACATCCATCTTGCAGAAAAGTACTTCATAGCACTGTACACTGTACTCTTTGCATAGTAAGTCAGTTCGCTATTTGTACACAATCCAATTATACACTTGCACAAAACTCTTCACAACACTAATATTTCAGTCCAGGATAGTTATACAAAACTTCATACATATACTTGGGTCACTTGTATTATACATGCCCTATATCTGTCTTGGGAAAGGTTATATACACAGAGGTGAACGTCTTGAATCTCTGTTTTACGGATTAGAGGATCCTTGACTGGTGGTGAGCATTACATGCACCTTGATGACTTTAGTTAAAAGGCTTTAAACCCAATTCAGGACTTTCTAAATTTAGATGTATAAGGACATGCATATTACCCAAATTCTCACTGGTGTACACACATACTTGAAGGGAACTTTATTAACAAAATAAATGCTGTAAGTGCATTTGTGCAGCGGGCAAATACGCCAATAACTGGTAGGATCAACTACCTGCTACCACGCAAATGAAAGGGTTGTAAGTAGTTGATCCATTACTGCCTTGAGGAAGGCCAATGCACCACACTAGGGTATACTCCCTAATGTGCAGCTACCATATTCAGTATGACAGTTGGATTGTGAAAGCCATCCTAAGGACCTGGCAACGAATAACTGGTAAACATAATTGGATCTTTAATATTCCGTTACAGATTCTTACCCTGTTATATTCCACAAGATGAGTTGCATTTATGTCCTTGGCTGAGTCTCCTCAAGAAGTTCCTTGATACCGGTAAGGGGCTCTTCGTTGGATCGAACTTAATTGCATTCCATTTCCCTCAAGCACTGTATGACCCCTACAGGCTTAGTGCTTACCCCCAATATAATATTCTTGCGCGAGTGAAGCATCTGGATCAGTCCTCAGTACTCTTTGCACAATGATTTAATTGTTTCGTTGTTAGATACTTAAACTCATATTTTATAAAATTGTCTGGACAGGCCATCCTGGTGGCAGACACGCTGCCGGCGACCGCCCTTACCATGGCTGCTCCCTTGACACTGCTGGTGAACGTAGACATGAGGGTGGGTCTAGTGGGCAGCCTGTGTGTCGCTTCTTATCTCATCCTCGGCCTAGCTACCTCAGAATTTGTGTTCTTAGGTGTGGCTCTGGCCTCGGCATCACGGGGCTTCTCCGACACCACCTTCCTTGGCCACGCATCTCATTACCATAAGTAAGAAAAATGTTGGTTCTCAATTCTTCTATTTTAAAGCTATTATGGATTTTTAGCGCTTTTTAAAACCAAAATTTTTGGTACATTATAAATTTGTGAATATTTCATTTATAGTAGGCCTCTAATGATATAAGAGGCATGCATGATGATACAAGTGTCAATAATAGTTATCTAACATACTGTGAGATGGGATAGACAATACGACGTGAGCATTGTATATGGAGGAATACCTGGAGTATACCTTGAGAGAGTTCCGGGCGTCAACGCCCCCGCAGCGTTAAAGCGCTAAGCCTATAAGCTTTATACAGTACCTGAAGAATAAGAGGTAATCAGGTTTTGTCCAAGGAAAAGGAGGGTAACTAATTCCCTGGATCAAGAGCTTATCACCAGCAGCTTTGATGAGAGAGACTGTCAGCAGCATTGTGGAAATAAAATACCATGTGGAAATAAAAAGATTTCCAAAACTACTCATTTTTGGAAATCATACTGAGTAAAGTTATAGAACATTGTAATTATATCATGATAATTTATACATAAAACTTAAATCTGTCCTAGTTGTTTCATTTAATATCACATACCTACAAGTCCCTCCCAAGAAGCTCATTGCTAGTAATCCCTTCCTTAAATCTCTTGTTAGAGCAACTGCTCAAGAAGAAATTTCTCACCTAGCCGGTAGTAATAAGTTATCACAAGTTATATACACTGATGGATCTAAACAGGAGTCTTCTGGCAGGGCTGCATCTGCTCTTGTTGCCACCTCCCTAGTTAAGAACGATAATAAATTTGTTGAGTTAGGCATAAGAAGTAACAACTGGGCGTCTACACTGCAAACTGAATTGTTTGCAATCCTAGTGGCGCTAAAGCTAACCTATGACACTGAGCTTGACTCTATCGTCATTACTGATTCTATGTCATCATTGAAGGCTCTTGACTCATATAATGACTCCAACAACATGCTCATTGGAGAAGCCAGGTATAGATACTCAAAAATTAGGGACAAAGGAATTAATGTACAATTGCTATGGATCCCATCACACATTGGATTACTCCTTCATGATAAAGTTGATATGTTAGCCAAGAAGAGTACCCAGAAGGAGAATGTAGAATATAACTTTGGTATAACTGTGTCTAGCATTAGGAATAATATTAGGAGAGAAGTAAATAATGAAAATGATTGTTATAGGAATGCAGTTAGAAGCCTGAGTAGATCTATAACCCACTATGATAACATGAACGTAGATAAGTATGTTTATGGAGCAACTTGCAATGTGAACACTGACTGATGTTGTAGTGGCCAGGCTTAGGCTTGGTTACAAGTACTTCTGGCAGTTTTGAAGGCACACAGATGATGATCAAACTAAATGTAAATTATGTGATCAGGCATATGGTCACTCTCTTGAACACTGCTTAATTGTCCACTTATTGAGGAATACAGAGACAGACAGTATAATAACCTATGTGACATGTCAAGGTACCTTATTAATGAAAATAAGATACCAGATATACTAAGCAAATTTCCTAAATTTGCTTGTAACAGATAAGTGAACTGTAGATATGTAGATATAAATCCGTATGTATTCATGTTAACCCTTTGGGGCCTAGTTCCTAGGCCTTTTGTGTATCCAAATGCTCTCGCGCTACCGTCCACAGGATGGATATGGGGTGCACAATAAACTAGCCACTTCGGTGGCAAAATCTAAAAATCTAATCCTAGTTGTGTGCTTGTGGAGGCTGATTACGATTATTTCATAACAAAAGAAATTTTTTTTATACCAAGGAAAAAATCAAATTTGTTGTACATTAAGCATTGTCGGGAGTAACAATAGTTATTGGTCATTGTACAGGCACACTTTGTCACTGTGGTCATCAGGAACAGGAGTAGCAACGTTCATGGGGCCTCTACTGTATTCCAGTCTCACCACTGGAGGCATCAACCCTCGTTATGCCCTTCTCATCTTCCTCACCGTACCCATCATTATTGCCATCAGGTATGTATGAGCACCTCTACCTGATTTTGCAGTTTCATGGAACTTTAACAAGAGAAAGGGGAGCGAAGGTAGAGACAAGCTCTGAGTTTTACATTAATGTACATATGTGAAACAAAGCATTCTGAGACCCTGTGAAATAAGACATATAGCATACATAAAATGTTATTATTCAGTTATGCTAACATTTATATTGCATATAGGATCTGTATATCAAACTGTACATAACTGCTTACCCTGAAGTTCAGTAATTTACAAGACTATAAAGTGAGGTAGCTAAATTTACAAAAGTGAGGTAGTTCAACACATTTAAAAAATTAACAATTGATAAACTAATTGTTATTTTTTTAAATGTGTTGAACTACCTCACTTTTGTAAATTTTGCTACTTCACTTTAATGCCAGTATGATTCATAACCTGTCAATATTGAGTAAGAAATAGTATTAGGCTGCCCAAAATGCCTAGGCATACTAGTGGCCTTTGTAATAAGTACTTTATTTTATAATTATCTTATAATATGTAAACCACACATTGTAATCTATACAAAGAAATAAACATTTGAATTTTTTCCACAGGTCACATTTGAAATTACAGTGGTACCTCGGTATACGTCCTTAATCTGTTCCAGGACCTTGGACTTATACCAAACAGGACGTAGACCAAACGAATTTTCCTATAAGAAATACGTATAGGGAAAATGATTAATCCATTTACATGAAAAAAAACCTTACTGTTATTGGCATATTATACATTGATGGGGTTGTATAAAATAATTTAAACACTGCTTAATACTAAAATATGTAATTTAAACACTGCTTAATACTAAAATACATACATAAATATAAAAGAATTAGATGAAAGAAATGCAAATTTAGCCTCGATTTACTTTGCAAAAGAGTCGAATGCCTGCTAGGATAGTACTGAGAAGGGAGAAGGAGAAAATGTTATTGTTTGGAAGGAGAGTCCCCTTCTCTTTTCTGTCTTTTTTCCTATTTGGACCTGGTTGAAGCTCACCAGGTTTGACTTTTACTGAAAATCTGTCCGAAGAACTTTGCTTCTGCCTTCTCATCAGGATGTTTCGGAAATGTGACATTGTCTGGTCGTTCCAGACAATGCTATTACGGTTTGTTTGGGCTTTGTTGGGGTGGTATTTTAGAGAGGGTGTGGTAGGTAAGTTTGGGGTGCCAGGTGTTTACCTGGAGTTTACCTGGAGAGAGTTCCGGGGGTCAACGCCCCCGCGGCCCGGTCTGTGACCAGGCCTCCTGGTGGATCAGAGCCTGATCAACCAGGCTGTTACTGCTGGCTGCACGCAAACCAACGTACGAGCCACAGCCCGGCTGGTCAGGAACCGACTTTAGGTGCTTGTCCAGTGCCAGCTTGAAGACTGCCAGGGGTCTGTTGGTAATCCCCCTTATGTATGCTGGGAGGCAGTTGAACAGTCTCGGGCCCCTGACACTTATTGTATGGTCTCTTAACGTGCTAGTGACACCCCTGCTTTTCATTGGGGGGATGTTGCATCGTCTGCCAAGTCTTTTGCTTTCGTAGTGAGTGATTTTCGTGTGCAAGTTTGGTACTAGTCCCTCTAGGATTTTCCAGGTGTATATAATCGTGTATCTCTCCCGCCTGCGTTCCAGGGAATACAGGTTTAGGAAACTCAAGCGCTCCCAGTAATTGAGGTGTTTTATCTCCGTTATGCGCACTGTGAAGGTTCTCTGTACATTTTCTAGGTCAGCAATTTCACCTGCCTTGAAAGGTGCTGTTAGTGTGCAGCAATATTCCAGCCTAGATAGAACAAGTGACCTGAAGAGTGTCATCATGGGCTTGGCCTCTCTAGTTTTGAAGGTTCTCATTATCCATCCTGTCATTTTTCTAGCAGATGCGATTGATACAATTTTATGGTCCTTGAAGGTGAGATCCTCCGACATGATCACTCCCAGGTCTTTGACGTTGGTGTTTCGCTCTATTTTGTGGCCAGGATTTTTGTACTCTGATGAAGATTTAATTTCCTCGTGTTTACCATATCTGAGTAATTGAAATTTCTCATTGTTGAACTTCATATTGTTTTCTGCAGCCTTCTGAAAGATTTGGTTGATGTCTGCCTGGAGCCTTGCAGAGTCTGCAATGGAAGACAGTCATGCAGATTCGGGTGTCATCTGCAAAGGAAGACATCCTTGTCTGTCAGATATGAGGATGAGTAACAAGATGGGAGCAAGTACTGTGCCATTTGGAACAGAGCTTTTCACCGTAGCTGCCTCGGACTTTACTCTGTTGACTACTCTGTGTTCTGTTAGTGAGGAAATTATAGATCCATCGACCGACTTTTCCTGTTATTCCTTTAGCATGCATTTTGTGCGCTATTACGCCATGGTCACGCTTGTCGAAGGCTTTTGCAAAGTCTGTATATATTACATCTGCATTCTTTTGTCTTCTAGTGCATCTAGGACCTTTTCGTAGTGATCCAATAGTTGAGACAGACAGGAGCGACCTGTTCTAAACCCATGTTGCCCTGGGTTGTGTAACTGATGGGTTTCTAGATGGGTGGTGATCTTGCTTCTTAGGACCCTTTCAAAGATTTTTATGATATGGGATGTTAGTGCTATCGGTCTGCAGTTCTTTGCTGTTGCTTTACTGCCCCCTTTGTGGAGTGGGGCTATGTCTGTTTTTAGTAACTGTGGGACGACCCCCGTGTCCATGCTCCCTCTCCATAGGATGGTAAAGGCTCGTGATAGGGGCTTCTTGATGAACACGGGGTTCCATGAGTCTGGCCTTGGGGCAGAGTGCATGGGCATGTCATTTATCGCCTGTTCGAAGTCATTTGGCGTCAGGATAACATCAGATAGGCTTGTGTTAACCAAATTCTGTGGCTCTCTCATAAAAAATTCATTTTGATCTTCGACTCAGTCTGGTTAGCGGCTTGCTAAAAACTGAGTCATATTGGGACTTGAGTAGCTCACTCATTCCCTTGCTGTCATCTGTGTAGGACCCATCTTGTTTAAGTAGGGGCCCAATACTGGACGGTGTTCTCGACTTTGATTTGGCATAGGAAAGAAATACTTTGGGTTTCTTTCGATTTCATTTATGCTTTTAGTTCTTCCCGCGATTCCTGACATCCTATAAGATTCCCTTTAGCTTAAGTTCTGATGCATCCTATTCTCTGACCAGTGTCTCCCCCTACCATTTCAGATATATATTGACCTCTTTTAGTTGCTCTGTTGTATTTTTTTCCGTCGCCTGTAAACCGGAGCGCCTTGTCCTCTTTCTAATTTAACATCTACTCCTCCTTTTTCTTAGAGAATAAGCCTTGTGCATACATCGAGTGCCACCCAAGTAATCTGTTCTAGGGCATAAGTTGGGGTCTGTGTTGCTTATATATCTTCCCATCTTATAATCGTTTATGACTTGTTTACTTGGTCCCACTTGTTTTTGTTATTGAAGTTGAATTTGTGAATGCTCCCTCATAACTAGTCTCATAATTCGCTGGGGCTCCGCGCATACATGTCGAACCTCCATTATGTTGTGATCTGAGTATATTGTTTTTTTATATGGTAACATTTCCGTATCAAATCATCATTGTTAGTGGAAGATGAGCAGTGTATTCTCCCAGTCTAGTAGGCTCTATAATTGCAGGTTTAAATTGTATTTTGTGCAGAGATTTAAAGCTCGGTGAGTGTGAGTTTTTCATCAGAGCCTGCCTCCAGTGTTTATTACTGCCGCAATATTATTTTGCTATATTCCTCCATTTTAAGGTGGCCGTTAAGTTGAATTCCCCAGGAGCAAGATGTTGGGTGCAGGAGCTGGAAGATTTCCAGACAGTGGTCAATTTTTAACAGCTGTTCTGGAATTGCAGCATGTTGCATTCCGAGGCTTGTAGACTACCACAATGACTAGTTTTGGTTCTCGATCTTTACAGCTAAAACTTCCACTACATCATTTGAGGCATTAAGCAGTTCTGTGCAAACAAGTGACTCGCAATGTACCAGGCCAACCTTCCCCTTCCGCCTTTTGCCTGTTCACTGTCACATCGTATAGGTTGTAACCAGAGATCCATATTCGTTGTCCAGTGATCCTTTATGGTTTTTGGGGTTTTCTCAGTGAAAGGGCCGTGGAACATTGCCTTTTCCTTTGCAAAGCAGTCCACGGATGAAAGGTATTTTGTATTTGTTGCTGGCTTTAGACCCAGTATATTTTCAAATTAGTAATGTCATCGGACTGGTGGTATTGTTTGTACTGGTGGGGGATTTTTTTTTTACGGCAATAGTATCTGTTGGTTAGGGAGTGGAGGCCAACGACTGTGTTCCACTCCAGGAATGAGCCTGATTTGGTGTAAGATTTTCTGCCATTTTCCTGCCAGTTTTTTTTCCTTCCTGGCACTAAAACACCTCTCCCTCTTGATGGCTGGGCTACCCAGTTTTCCACATGGCCCTGGGATGTTTTTGTATCTTTTTGACCCCTTTAGATTGGTGTGCCCTTGCAATTTAAGTTATAGCACAGTCTTTCCTGTACTGAAGAGGTACACATTTCATTCTAGGGTGAAAAAGCTTATAAAGAAGGGAGGTTTGCATTTTCCCTGTAGTCATATGGGCACGGCATTCTCTAAGGGTGGTCATAGTTTGCACGTCCCGTCAGTTTTCCAGATTTCCCATGTCGACATATACCAAGTGCATGTATGTGCACAGGCTTGGTGTCCGTTTGCCTTGGTTTCTGTGACTGCATTCCCTGTTGTGCATGTTTACCTTCTTGATTCATAGACCCCCCCCCTCCCTACACCACCAATGGAGCTCCCACCAGTTGTTTATTGGTAATAATCCTCACCCTTGACTAGAGTAGTCCCTCTTGTTTGCTATTTCTTTGTGGTATTTCTTATTTTGCAATATTGGGTTTTATTCTTATCTTGACTACACATGTTTCCCCACTACGGCTCCTGGCCCTATGAGGTATTTATAATGGTATCTTTCCTTCCTGCGTATAAAAATTCCCAACTACCTGGACCAATCTCCGAGCTTCATCCATACTGTCTCCCAGACAGCA